GCTCTGCCCTGTGGGATTGTGTGTCTCCCACGCTGTTGAAGGTGAGCCGGACCAGGGATAACATCTCCCAACGAAGCCTGGCCTGGTAGCCCCTCCCAGCATTCCCGTTAGGGCAGCCGCCTCCTCACCGGGGTCGCAGGGACTCCCTCCTGGTGACACCAGAGAACGAAAGTCCCCAACACTTTCCTAGGGCCCCTGCCGAGGTGGCCAAGTGTGCGCCGCAAGCCAGCGCTGGGCCAGGTCCAGCTGGCTCTGCAGTGATGGAGCCCTGCGGAAATCGGAGCAAGAGGAGCTGGGGTGGGGCTGGTTGGGGTAGAGCGCAGACCTGTTTTCCGAGGCCCAGCAGGGGTGGTGGTCTGTGAGTGTCGTGTGTGTGCTGCTTGTCTATTGTGTATGTGGTTCTCGGAGACGGCTCTCGGGGGCGCTGACAGGTGAAACTCGACAGTTTTCCTCTTGCTGTGACACAATTCCGGGGACTCCATCGAGGCCCCTGCACACTCTGGGAGCAGCTCCAAACTCCTCCTGGTCCCTCGCATCACAGGCTGCGGGCTCTGGTCTTTGACAGTGTTGTCGACGCCTGGGAGACTGGGGGGTGCTGAGGGTCCTGGTGGGAACACCGTGGGGGTGGAGCTGAGTGGCATCTGGGGGGCACTGTGGTAGCCCGACCTCTCATACAGCGCCGCGGACTTAAAGGCCTCCTCCCCCCTCACCTTCCAGGCCTCGCTGTCTTGCAGTCCCCGGGGCGCTTCCTGGCACCCCTGAGGTGCTCGGGCTGGCCCTCAGGGAGGAGGCATTAGCTTGGTCTTCGAGCTTGTCCTGCTGGGGTGGTGGTGGGCCTGCAGCCCCAGGGGGCGGCCGAGGATGCCAGGGTGCATGCCCGCCCCCCTCCCTCCCCCTGGCTGGGCTGGAACTCCGTCTCTTCCTTGTGCAGACTGGGAAGAAGCAAGAGGCTGAGAGTTGAGTAGGGGGGACAGAGGGACCAAACCGACCTGATTTCTCCCTCAGCCCCTCTTCTCCCTCCCCCTGGCCCCAGGTCAAGGACACGGTCTTCCTCACAATGCCGACTCACCTCTCCCGGTCCATCCGGTACCTCCTGAGTCATCCTCCCGCCCAGCTCACCCAGCTGCTCTGTGGCTCCTTTTGCCCGTGTTAACACGCAGGCTCCTCGCCTGGCATGTGTGGTTCCGCCTGGGGAGCAGCGTCCCCAAGGAGAGAAGTCGCCCTCGCCCTGTCCAAACCTCCCCAGGCTGCAGGCCCCTCCCTCCAGGGGGCACAGTGACCTCTGTCCTGTCCCTTCCGCGCATCCAGGACCTGCGCGTGTATCCAGTGTCACTGAAGTGTGTGTCCCCGGGAGGTCAGGCCCATGCATCACTTTCTGCTCCTCCCCCTGCGTCTCCACAGCCTTCGGTTGCTGAGTACAGATCGGGCAGAGCTCGAAGGCCACCTCCGGAAATGTTTGGACCACCTTTCCAAGCCTGGTTCACGCCACGGGGAGACGCCAGCTAATTCTAGTTTCAGACTAATAGGATATTGTGTTCTTAAAAGAGCAGGAAGAAAGCAGCTTAACACTGTGGGGGAAACCTTGATAGGCACGCACCGGAGTCCTCCTCACGCTCATCCTCCAGAGAGAGCTGTCTGGGCGCCCCTCAGCCCACGGACTCCCAGCAGCAGCTCCAAAGGGATTCTGACCACACCAGGGAAACGGCACCCACGTGGGCGTCCCGAGGCCTTTCCTCTGTAGCACAGAGTCTACCCAGAAGGTCCCAGTGAGGACCCAGCCTCCTGCTGGGGCGTGCCTGCCCCCCGCCCCCGTTTCAGGGACACCCCATCCCACCACCGCCCCTCCAAACGCTCCGGCTTATCAGAAGACAGTTCCGGACCAGCGCCAGGAGCCAGCCCCTGACACCCCAACAGGATCACTGACCGCTGGCTGCCCTCGAGTAAGCCCCTTCTCTCTCTGGGCCTCAGGGTCCCTCTCTGGACACAGGGGGCTTAGACTGGAGGTCCCCAAGAGCCCTGAAGCGGGACAGGAAAGAGGGAAAGGTGGGAGGTGAACCAGACATACCCGGGCCACATGTGCCGCCTGCTGGCCGTGTGACGGTGGGCTCGGCAACTACTTAACCTCGCTGAACCTAGAATTAGCCGTCTGAAAGCTGGAGCTAACAAAGCAAGGTTATGGGGGAGGAAACCACAGTTACTGTGTGTAAAGGGCTTAGTGCAGTGCCTGGTACTCAGCACCCAGTGTGCACTAACTAGGTGCTCTGTGCCAAGCAGGCCCCTGCCATGGGTTTTCTCTCTACCAAGGTGGTTCCCTGGCACTGCCCACCTGACATTGAAGGTGGAGCCAAAAAAGGAGGGTCGGCGAGACTGGGCAGAAGCGGCCGTGTTGGGGGGCTGTGGCTCCGGATCGTTCCAGGACAGGCCCCGCTCCACTGCGGGCAGGTCCTGGTGCATCTCGTCCACGGCCAGCAGGGACGCCTGGCCGTCGGAGACAGAAGCAGGAGTCCCACAGGAGATCAGCCAAGCAAGACCATGAACTTGCCAGGTGACCGGGAGAGGCCACTTCCATGTCTCTGGGCCTCAGTTTCCCTAGTTGCGAAATGGAGAGACTGGCACCCACCTGAAGCTGCAGAAATTGGGGTGAGAATCCTGGGAGGGGAGGGGAGGCCATTCAGTGTCAGGCCCCTCGACAGAATTTCAGGGTCCCGGTCCCTGGGTCCCGTTTGGGGAAAGCTCATAGGACGGGCTCCCTCCCTCCCCCATACCTGCAAGCTCCTGGCCACAATCCAGTTGGTCTCAAAGTCATCTTCTCCAAGCGGGCTGGTGAGCTGCTCTGCCACCTTGGGGACAGGTGAGGCTCTGGGAATCCCCCTGCAGCCTTGCAGCCTGGCTCCCCGCTCTTAACCCTCAGCTCCTGGCACTCTCCCAGGACCCCCTCCGGCCTGACCTCTGTCTCCAAAGCCACTGTGTGCAGGCTCCCGCCACCCACACAGGGCGGTCCTCACACACACGGGCCCCTTCCGACTGCCCGGAGCCAGGCAGGTATAATCTATTCATTTGTTCAGTTACTCATTCAATTTTCAAACATGTATTTATTCACGGCTTTCAGATGCAACAGACATGTATGCTGAGGCTGCGCTGAATTAAAGGGTCGGCCAGGCGGCAGACTCCCCAAGCCCTGCAGTGGGGGTGAGTGCAGTGCGCTAAGGCAGGCAGGTCAGACTCGCGGCCCACAAACGAATGTTTTTGCGGCCCAGCCAATAACCGGTATGTCAGAAACGTTTCAGTAAAAAGTTCATGACTTAACTTTACAATATCCTGTCATACATCATTATCAATAACCGACTACAACGTTCGCTAATGACTGATGACTATCATCGTGTTGCATTCATTTTCCTGACGCGCCTTACGCACAGGTGCACCATTTCTCTCCACTAATACTAGCAGCGAATATTTCAGCAGCTGATGGCCACCTCATTAGTCTTGTACTGACTTGTTTGGTGTGCACACAGGAAATATTTTGCTTTTGGAGAACAAGAAAAATAGGTTTATTTGCATGACGCTTATTAATTTGTGCAGTTATTCAGTGTCTGGTAAGGTAATGTTCAAGAAAAAGTATTACTTTTTATTAAAATGTTCTATTATTTTGTTAATGATTACTTATTTCACATACACTTACACCTTGTGTATTTGGCCCGTGTGAGCCTTTGAGTCTGACCTGCTGGCACTAAGGCGTCAAGGAATATCCTGCAAGCTGCAGG